CAGACCAGTTCCTGAGATTATGGCGTTCAAAAAAACTCTTCAACATTTTAATATCAAGTATAGACTAGCGATTTCGTAACAGTGAGCGTTTTTTAGTTCAAGTCTCGAGCTACCAAATGCGCGCTTTAGAGATTGCTGATAGTTAATATTATGTTTCCAAAAATCGTCAATGTCTCAACTCTCCTCTGTTACAACTGACCTCAGTCTTCCCTACTTGTATTAAATACGTCTGTCAGACAATAACAGTCAACCTGTATGATCCTGCACTTACGTCTACATAAGCAATTAGCAATCGGTATAGCACCAGGCTAATAGAAATGTTATCTCTGAGCAAGTAGGATGAGCTAAGAGAATTCAAAGAGCTTTCTGTATGTACCCAGGATTTACTTAAGCTTGAATGGATTTAAACAAATGAGATATGGAAAGATTCCAGTAAATGGAATGATACAATAAGATAAAGCTGGTAATACTGACATTCTTATGGGTATGCTGGCAACATTATTAGATTTAAAAGCTGTCTGTGTTGTTATGGGAAAGTCAACGACTCTTTATCATTTTGCTCTCTATTTTTCTGCTTACCACTGACTAGTGGTTGAGGTATGGGAGCGGCATGGGAGGGGTGATTTTGACATAAAATATTATGACGGGACAGAGCATACAAATCTGGCGTCACGTTGACATTATCTATACTTATAATAAATCTGTAGAGTGGTCAATTCTGTACATGAAATATATTTTCAAAATAACTATCAGGGGGTGATTAGTGATCGATACTGATGCCAAAAATGCAATCAGTAAAATTTTTGTCTGTCTGTCTGTCTGTCTGTCCGTCTGTATGTTCCTTATAGAAACAAAAACTACTCGATGGATTTTAACGAAACTTGGTACAATTATTCTTCATACTCCTGGGCAGGTTATAGTATACTTAGGAATTCCCACGGGAACAGGAATTAGCGGGAAAATCCTTTTGTATGAAAAATCTAAACTGCTTAAGTTAGATGCTTGAAATTCGGTACCTTAATAAACTTAAAGCTTAGTTACAACAAGGAATTCCCGAAATTCCTACGGGAATGGGAATTAGCGGGAAAATCCTTTTGTATGAAAAATCTAAACCGCTTAAGTTAGACGCTTGAAATTTGGCATACAGGTACCTTAGTAAACATAAAGCTTAGTTACAACAGGATATTGCAAAATTCCCACGGGAACGGGAGTTAGCGGGAAAAAACATTTGTATGAAAAAATCTAAACCGCGTAAGATAGATGAAGGGGGTAAAACGGGATCCACGCGTACGAAGTCGCGGGCGGCCGCTAGTAACGTAATATAAAACGTACCTCAGGCACTGACTAAGTTAAGCGCCTAGACCTGTAATAAATACAACATTACAGATTTTAAACTAAACGCACATTGTAAGATGGTGTTAAGATACGGGACTATTCCCACTTCTCGTTCCCACCGCTGCAACTCCTGTGTAGCCAGGATCTACAGCTTGACCGCCAATAAAACCCAACCAATGAAGGTCAAGTTTGTCCCGGGAGAAAGTTACACTGTCCTTGGACCTGCAACAAGAACAAAAATAACATCGTTCGTTCGTTTCAGCCAAATGACGTCCACTGCTGGACAAAGGGCTCCTCCAAGGTTTTCCACAATGCACGGTCCTGCGCTGCCCGCATCCAGGCTCTTCCCGCGACCTTTACGCGATCGTCGGTCCACCTAGTAGGAGGCCTGCTCACGCTACGTCTTCCAGCCCGTTTAATACTCATTTTGAAGATGCGAAAGTAATCTGTCCAATATTTCTGCAGCCTATTTGTAGCAGAATCAATGACAGGTGGAGTAAATGGGTACTCTAATGGAAACCACTTCTCTTCAAATGCTATGTAATGCGAAGCTACTTGATGGTCTGACGACTTTAAAAAGATACTGGCAACGGTTAGATGAAAAACATAACCCTCCTTCTGGTGCAGTAGGGTAAAAATACGGGAGATTCTGCTTTGTCTTATGTCCAAGTCCAACAGTGGAATTCCATAGGCTGAAGTCATGATTAACGGTGATAATAAAACTCTATCTGTTTGTCTGTAAGTACAAGTATTAAAGTTTAAAGTCAACTTTAGGCTATAAAGATATCGAATATGTACCACTGTATTACTATTGTATAAAGTAACAAAGCAAAGCAAAACATAATGAGTAATAATGACATTACAAAAACAAGTAATAAAGCTTTTATCTAACAGATACTTTAAACAAAGCACCATAAATACCTATAGTAAAACATTTAATATCATTCGGGAGCGTTGTTGTCAGCAACAGATATGTTTTTTGTGCGAAAAAGTATTGTTTGGATTTGGATAGCCCTTGTGATGCTCTACTTCTGGGCTTCGGCTTAACACTACTTTTTGGGACAACCTATTTGTAGATTGGTTTTGTTTTTCGGTCGTTTATTCGTGAAACAAAAGCTGCATTGAAACTAAAAAGAAAATGGCGCTCATTAACTGAAGCTTGTAGTCGCTGTGTACAAAAAACTGCGAGCCGTTTGTTACTGGTACAAAACTGGAAAGTAACTGTATCACAGTTAGTTTTTTAGTTTACAGTATTGAGTAAAACTATTTGTGTTGATATCATTAATTATTTTAATGCATTTGCATTGATAAAATTGCATTCCTGACACGTAATGACGTAATGAAAGTCACTGACAGCTCGACGAATGAGCAAGCTGAAGTGGCAATGGGCAGGGCACATAGTACGCAGAACTGACGGCCGATGGGTCAGCAAGGTTCTGGAGTGGAGGCCACGTACCGGAAAACGCAGTGTGGGACGTGCACCCACAAGGTGGACCGACGGCCTGATAAAGGTAGCAGGAAGGCGCTGGATGCAGGCCGCTACCAACCGTGCGATGTGGAAGTCATTGGGGGAGGCCTATGTTCAGCGTGGACGTCCTGTGGCTGAAATGATGATGATGATGATGACGTAATGACGTAGTTTCCATAAAGGTAGCACACATGCCAGTGGCTGATACACTTGCATACCAGTTGCTTGTAGAAAGAAAAAAAGAATAATTCATACGAGTATGTGTGTAACCTTTCCACATATTATGCTTACACACTAGCGACTAGTTTCATTTTACAAACATGTGTTAAGACTCAAAACACTCAAAACGTCTTATGAGCTAAGTTTGATCAACAGTTTTACCTAAATCATGCTATTCATAAACGCAATTAAGATAGTAAAAATATTCCGAGCTAAAGAGGTGGCAAAAGCAATGGCAAACAAACCACAATCAATAGTATTCGGTTGTCGCTGAACACTTGGAAACTGAATACATGACTCCGATAGATACGGAAACAAGGCTTTTACATATATTTTTTGCGATTTTCCTAGAACACCAACAAGACTATCGTACACACGCAGTATTCCATTAATGTAATAAATACAACTCCAGTGCCCCACTAATCCCACGTCACCGTCATAAATTACTTGAAGGTGCGTCTCATTTTTAGGTACAGGTTCAATCAGTTCAGGGTGTTGAAATAATTCTAGCTCACGCGGTCTAAATGATGTGCACCGAAGTAACTTTTCATGAAATGCGCGAACCACATCATCTTCGATATAGTTATTATAATTCAGAATGTAGGAAAACGTATTATCTAAAGTATCCATTGTTAGATGATATACAATAAGCTTTAGAAATTTTAAAAACCTGCTACGAAACACTAAAATTTAAAAAAAATTTTCATCCCTCAGTTACATGTATGGGGGGCCCCACCCCCAATTCTTTTTTTTACTATTTAGTGTCATAATTTTGTAGCGGTTCATACAACACATATTCCCATCAAATTTCATCACTGTAGTACTTATAGTTTCCGAGTAAATCGGCTGTGACAGACGGACAGACGGACAGACGGACAGACGGACAGACGGACAGACGGACAGACGGACAGACGGACATGACGAAACTATAAGGGTTCCGTTTTTGCCATTTTGGCTACGGAACCCTAAAAAATACAGTTGGCGCCACTATCTTTGATTTTGATATTAAATTTTTTGATATGAAATGTATTACTCATTAATCAATAAACACATTCTACAATCGCTAATGGCATTTGGCTGAGGTTGTTGATAAAAGAAGATGACGCTAAGGCGCATAGTATTGGCTCCAATGTTGGAACAAGCTATTTTCTATATCCACCCGTTGGAACCAACGTTGGGGCCAATGTGTGGAGCCGTCCTAAAAACATAGCGAAACAACCAAGCATTTAGGTTAAGCAAGATATACATTTTTGGGAATTGCTCTATCTTGCATCAATACGCATTCCGCCTAAATGCCGCCCGCCCAAAACTGTAGTCCGTCGGATATATTCGCTATCAAATACGAAAAACATTTTCAAGCCTTTTTCTGCCCTATGGCAGCAACAATAAGTTTTATATTGATTTTAAAAACAATTCTAATTTCTATGACATTTAATGTTGTATGCAATTAACGAGAATTTAGTTCAAAGATTCGAGAGGTACTCAAAGCTTCCTCAAACGAGCTTTCTCGGTTCTAATAGAATCGATTTGAGCTTAACGACGAAGCTTGAATCCTACATTGTTACTAATGAGCGAGGGAACACCTTTAAGCTCCATTTCAGACTACCTATAGCACCTAATGTTCGTTACATGGCCCATGTAAATAGCACTATTAAATCTAACACCATGTAACAGCCCTCACATAAGTGAAATAATGTCTATGTTATTTAATCTAAGGTAAGTAATTATAATTTAAGATCGTTAACAACGTTGCAAGACTTTTAATCACCTACCTACCTAAGAAAAACCAAATGCCTGCCGCTACAACTCAACGCGCTCAATTCAAACCCAAATTGATCAGTATTATGAATTTCATTCCTTTGATTTACCAACAAAAGTAACCCCAATCTTTATCTATAGTATCGGAACGTCGGATATTGAAAATAGTATGAGTTATCTTGTATCACAACACCTATCAGCCAGTATTACTTGGCGCGTCGTAGGAGGCGGTCGCTCGCTCGGTTTTTCCCCCACTCGCGAAAATCACAAACTTGTGCTCGTGTTTGTTGTGGTGAATTGTGTCTTTTTAACTGTGTGCTAAAGTTTAAAGTGGATTGTGGATTTGAAATGATTTGGTAAGTACAAGATTTCGTTGACAGAAGTTTTGGGTTACCGCTGTTTTTAAGCTGCCGGCTGCCGAAAGTTGCCCAAAGTGAGCTTTAACGTTTTTAGACGACTTTCTACGATAATTGAGGCACCTTTGTTTCAAGTTTTAATTATTTACTTACGCATCGTGCTGTCATGTTGTATGCAAAAAATTCCTTTTGATAAGGGGGTAAACAGATATTAATATTAGCTAATCATATGATTAATATTGTATGAAGCTAAAGGTTAGGATCATAATTAATTACTTTAGTTATTAATACCAGTACCTAAATATAACTAGTCTTGATATTTTCAAAATTTCAAAACATTTTAAAATTATTATCATTGTTGAGTATACAGGGATTATAGGATAATAAATATATTGATAAAGAATTATGAATGAGTTGAAATTTATTCTTATTGAAGATTTACAAACAAAAATCGCTCTTATTTGAAAAAATACGTGTATCAGTTCGTATCAATGAATTTGAAGTGTTTATCAGGAGATATTAATTCAATTGATTTGTTTATACACAAGAATAATACTTAATGTCGAAACAATATTATATTAGGTACAAAGCAAAATAGAAAATTGAAAATTTTACAAGAAAAATATATGACTATCTTTTATGGCGGTTTGGTAGGTTCGCAATAAGTTGTGTGTTAGCAAAATCTGAGACTGTAAATGAATTAAAAGATTTACTATGTACCTATTGCTTACCTATTTATTTTTTTATTTAAAATAGGTACACAAACAGAATTATTACTAGTAATAATTTCGAAAACCGATTCGTACCTACATACAATAGTGCAAAATATTTTATCTCTAAAGGCATATCAAAACAACTATGAGCCTCCTTTGCGAAAAAAAACTTTGTAAACGGTTTTAAGAAAATTTAATTGATTAGGCCTTGAATCATAAAAGCTGTTAAGCTATTTTTTATATTAAAGTGTGGACGATTATATTAAGACGTTTTTATTTTATGGGAAACAAGCCACTGTGATGAATGTGAATATTTTTTTCTTGAATCCTTTCCTTGAAAAGTAAGTACAGCAATGCCAGTTTAACTTACCCCCGAGAAAAACTTGACCTTCACTGGTAGGGTTTCTATTGGCGGTCAAGTTGTAGATCCTGGCTACACAGGAGTTGCAACGGTGGGAACGAGAGGTGGGAATAGTTCCGTAACAGCACATGAGACTAGATTTTTGTTGCAATACTTATAGTATCTATTACAAATACACAAGATAGCATAGTGTTAAGCTTGATGTGCATAAAGAGGATGCTTTATTCCGTTTGGATACACGGGCAGCTTGGACTTGACCATTGTACAGCAACTTCGTTCGAAACGGACTATTCCGGAGGTAGCGGGTTCGATTCCCGCACGGTACAAACATTTGTGTGCATATTTGTCTGTATTGGACTGGGTGTTTTCTATGTATAATAAGTATGTATTTACAAAAAAAAAGTATTTAAGTATGTTTATATCCGTTGTCTAGTACCCATAGTACCAGCTTTGCTTAATTTGGGACTAGAAGCGCAGTGTAAATGTCCAAGGATATTTATTTATTTATTGCGACTTTGTCACAAACTGTTTAAGCTCGGTACTTTTATAGATATTTTCTGAAAGTTAAATGAAATTCTGAGAGAAAATTAAGTTGGGTGTTGAGATTTAACGTTTATTTTTGGTTGGTTTTGTCCTTCCGCGGAACGAGAGTGGTAGCATATAGGTAATTATATGATTAGACTAGCGGCCGCCCGCGACTTCGTACGCGTGGATCCTGTTTTACCCCCTTCATCTTACGCGGTTTAGATTTTTCGTACAAAAGGATTTTCCCGCTAACTCCCGTTCCCGTGGGAATTTTGCAATATTCTGTTGTAACTAAGCTTTAAGTTTACTAAGGTACCTGCATGCCAAATTTCAAGCGTCTAACTTAAGCGGTTTAGATTTTTCATACATAAGGATTTTCCCGCTAATTCCCGTTCCCGTGAGAATTTCGGGAATTCCTTTCTTAGTGCACCTCTACGGTACCTAAGCTCGGCGTCCCTTTCAAATTTCAAGTGCCTACGTTTAGCCGTTTAGGCTGTGCGTTGATATGTCAGTCAGTCAGTTTCTCCTTTTATTATTTAGATTTTGCCTGCGATCCAACTTGTTATAAGTACCTAGCTTCTGAATCTGTGCTGATGTATAAGTAATACGTAAAAATTATCAAAATTCCATCCGTAGCTCATTCTCATAAACATTCACCAAGATATTATTGAAGGTACCGTAAGTCATTGCCAAAAACTAAGTAGATACAAGTAGGCAGGTATAATAATAAGAATTGAGCATTCTCGTCTTCAAAAAATTAGGTCGAACAGAGGCATAAAAGTAGAGAAATAAGGGTTAAGCGAGTCATATTATACAGTGTGAGTCACGTTAAAGTGTACATATGAAAATAGATGAAACTAGACCTATTTTTATCGACAAAAAAGTGGTCAAAAATTTTTTGAGATTTTTTTTTAATTTTTTATAGAATTTTTTTTATTTCAAGTACTTATTGTAAAGAAAACGTAATAACTTTTAAACTAAGAGGTATATCCTGATAAAATAAAAACAGTAATAATGCTAAATAACAGACGATACTAAAAAAATGCATAAAATACTCAGAAAATGCCAACAAATAATAAAAAATGATACCTTTTGAAAAAAATCTGCTTAAAAATTCGTGTTTTTTTGGTTATTTGATAAATTTCTCCAAAAAATGTCCCTATAAAAGGTGGTTTTTATTACTTTAAATTATTCTCTATCGTATTACCTTTGTAAAACCAAAAATCGCATGTCTCTATCCCTATCACAACATTTGCTATGATCGTTTGAACTAAGCCTCTCCGGGCGCGCCATTCAAAGCTTCGTTATCAACGAAACTGAAAATGGCTCTCGATTTGTAATTTTGATAAAGACAAGTTAGATTTCAAATAAAAACAAAAGATTTCGAAGAAAAATAAGCATTTTAGTTAAAATTAAAATTGTCTCTACCTGTAGCGGAGAATAATGTTGTGGCAGGCCTTTGTTCAAACGTTCATAGCAAATGTTATGATAGGGATAGAGACATGCGATTTTTGGTTTTACAAAGATAATACGATAGAGAATAATAAAAAGTAATAAAAACTACCGGTTATAGGGGCATTTTTTGGAGAAATTTATCAAATAACCAAAAAAACACGAATTTTAAAGCAGATTTTTTTCGAAAAGTATCATTTTTTATTATTTGTTGGCTTTTTTTGTGTATTTTTTTTTTAGTATTGCCTTTTATTTAGCATTATTACTGTTTTTATTTCATCAGGATATACCGCTTAGTTTAAAAGTTATTACGTTTTCTTCACAATAAGTAATTGGAAGAAAAAAAATTCTATAAAAAATTAAAAAAAAAATCACAAAAATTTTTTGACCTCTTTTTTGTCGATAAAAATAGGTCTAGTTTCATCTATTTTCATATGTACACTTTAACGTGACTCACACTGTATGTAGGGTGATAGTGGTTATAATACAGGGTGTAACAGGATGCTATTTCCTCTTAAGTGCTGTCAATAATATGGAACCTGATATTTTTGTCCAAAAACTCCTGAATATGTCATCATTTGATGCGTTTATTGACACTGTACTTATAATAAGATGTCGAGTCTATTTTGGTAATAATATTGATTGGCCCTGAGACATACGAGCTTACATACTTACGCCCGTATTCACAAACATTACTATGAGGCCTCACAGTGCACGTGGACGCACAGGGTGACACACGAACCAATCACAGAGCTCTATTCAACTCTGTGCGTTCGATTTGTTGCCTCACTTAAGCAAGCATCGTTTGTGAATACGGGCGTTATTCTCATTGAATCGAGTGTCTCCTGTTGTAGTAAAATACAAAGTAGTAGTTATCAATAATCATGTAAAGTAGTTAATACAAGCAATAGATAGACTCAAAACTAAAATTACATAAATAAATTAAATTATTATCATCAACATTTCAGCCACAGGACGTCCACTGCTGAACATAGGCCTCCTCCAATGATTTCCACGGTGCAGGTCGCTACCATGTGGAATGTGGTGACTACGCGATGTGGAAATCATAAATTCAACACGTTTTTGGAAATTATTACCTACCTACATTATTATTACACAAAAATATCTACATGAGTAGAAAATGAAAGTAAAAATAACCTAGGTAATTATGTTTAGGCCGTGTTTTTTTTTTTAAAGGTAGGTACAGTACCTACAAACTATTAAAAATACAGATTGTTCGCATCTTGTACTCTCTTAGCCGAATAATATGATAACTATAGCTATACTATAGCTAACCGCCTCTGTGGTCTAGTGGTTAGACTGATGCAGGTGGCATCAGACGCAGAGGTCCCGGGTTCGATTCCCAGTGGGGGCAGAATTTTCTGTTCGGTTTGGTTGGTGGTAGGGCTTGTTCCAAGTCCGCCTGGCTAGCTACCGCCATCTTACCTAAGTCTGTCGCTTTATCAACAATGTTAACAGCATTGTTGTGTTCCGGCAGTTAGAGGTAAGATAGCCAGTTCCTCTCTGGTTGAGGATTCCGGGTGAAGCTCGCTTCCACCTTCGGCCTGATCATCACTTACCATCAGGTGAGATACAGGCCAAGAGCTTCCTCGTTGTGGATAAAAAAACATTTTTACAATGCAATACCATATGCTGAGTTCAAAGAACCGTAAGTTTATCGTTTCACAATTTACTCGAGAAAGCCTTTGACGAAACTATACAAGTTTAATCTTATTTAATCTTGTTCAACAGCAGTCGAGAAGCAAAGTTTTAAGCTGTATAACCAAAAATTTTCAGTAGGATAATAATTTCGAAGGTTTAAGCCAGGATTAGTAAGGATAAGAGAGATAAATGTGACTATTAGACTATAATAGAGGGTAGTTACAAATTTTAGAAAGCTCGGGAACATTGATTAAACCCCGTAATTTTGAAATGGCACGTATGAATAA